TTCTGCACACTGAAACACTACAAACAGGTAAATGTCTATGTTTATCATTAGTACAATTAAAAAAATCTTTAAAGTTACTTACAACTTTGTTATAAGCAAAGCACTGTATCATACAAAACATATAGTCAGAAAATAAATATCTGAGATTTGGAGGATCCTTGGAGAAGGAAATGGCAACCCACTCCAGCGTTCTTGCCTGGAGAATCCCAGGGATGGCGGAGCATGGTGGGCTGCCGTCTATGGGGTCGCAGAGAGTCGGACACAACTGAAGCGACTTAGCAGCAGCAGCAGCAGCAACAGTAGCAGCAACCACAGGTTCAGTTCAGTTCAGTTCAGTTGCTCAGTTGTGTCCCACTCTTTGCGACCCCGTGAATCACAGCACACCAGGCCTCCCTGTCCATCACCAACTCCCGGACTTTACTCAAACTCATGCCCATCCAGTCGGTGATGCCATCCAGCCATCTCATCCTCTGTCATCCCCTTCTCCTCCTGCCCTCAATCCCTCCCAGCATCAGGGTCTTTTCCAATGAGTCAGTTCTTCGCATGAGGTGGCCAAAGTACTGGAGTTTCAGCTTCAGCATCAGTCCTTCCAATGAACACCCAGGGCTGATCTCCTTCAGGATGGACTGGTTGGATCTCCTTGCAGTCCAAGGGACTCTCAAAGAGTCTTCTCCAACACCACAGTTCAAAAGCATCAATTTTTCGGCGCTTAGCTTTCCTCACAGTCCAACTCTCACATCCATACATGACCACTGGAAAGACCATAGTCTTGACCAGATGGACCTTTGTTGGCAAAGTAATGTCTCTGCTTTTCAATAGGCTATCTAGGTTGGTCATAACTTTCCTTCCAAGGAGTAAGCGTCTTTTAATTTCATGGTTGCAATCACCATCTGCAGTGATTCTGGAGCCCCCCAAAATAAAGTCTGACACTGTTTCCACTGTCTCCCCATCTATTTTCCATGAAGTGATGGGACCAGATGTCATGATCTTAGTTTTCTGAATGTTGAGCTTTAAGCCAACTTTTTCACTCTCCTCTTTCACTTTCATCAAGAGGCTTTTAGAGTCTCTTCACTTTCTGCCACAAGGGTGGTGTCATCTGCATATCTGAGGTTATTGATATTTCTCCTGGAAATCTTGATTCCAGCTTGTGCTTCTTCCAGCCCAGCGTTTCTCATGATGTCCTCTGCAGAGAAATTAAATAAGCAGGGTGACAATATACAGCCTTGATGTACTCCTTTTCCTATTTGGAACCAGTCTGTTGTTCCATGTCCAGTTTTAACTGTTGCTTCCTGACCTACATACAGGTTTGTCAAGAGGAAGGTCAGGTGGTCTGGTATTCCCATCCCTTTCAGAATTTTCCACAGTTTATTGTGATCCACAGTCGAAGGCTTTGGTGTAGTCAATAAAGCAGAAATAGATATTTTTCTGGAACTCTCTTGCTTTTTCTATGATCCAGTGGATGTTGGCAATTTGATCTCTGGTTTCTCTGTCTTTTCTAAAGCCATCCTAAACATCTGGAAGTTCACGGTTCACATATTGCTGAGAATTTTGAGCATTACTTTACTAGCGTGTTAGATGAGTGCAATTGTGCGGTAGTTTGAGCATTCTTTGGAATTGCCTTTCTTACGCACTGGAATGAAAACTGACCTTTTCCAGTCCTGTGGCCACTGCTGAGTTTTCCAAATTTGCTGGCATATTGAGTGCAGCACTTTCATAGCATGATCTTTCAGGATTTGAAAAAGCTCAACTGGAATTCCATCACATCCACTAGCTTTGTTGGTAGTGATGCTTCCTAAGGCCCACTTGACCTCACACTCCAGGATGTCTGGCTCTAGGTTAGTGATCACACCATTGTGATTATCTGGATCATGAAGATCTTTTTTGCACAGTTCTTCTGTGTATTCCTGCCACCTCTTCTTAATATCTTCTGCTTCTGTTAGGTCCATACCATTTCTGTCCTTTACCAAACCCATCTTTGCCTGAAATGTTCCCTTGGTATCTCTAATTTCTTGAAGAGATCTCTAGTCTTTCCCATTTTGTTGTTTTCCTCTATTTCTTTGCAATGATCGCTGAGGAAGGCTTTCTTATCTCTCCTGTCTGTTCTTTGGAACTCTGAGGGAGGTATTAGTCTTCTGAGAATTATATAATGCATATAAACTTTTTTCCCTAGGGAGACTTTCAGAGAGACTTGTCATTAATCCAGCTAATCAAGTCCATCAGCAAATTAAAGGAAAAATGCATGTATCCTATCAGTTGACTATTTGCATTAAAGATAATAAACTGGGCCCCAGAAATCTGCTCAAAAGGAAAGTAATGTTCAATGTAATAAAAGTAAAATACAGCACAATAGAAAGATTCATGTTGAAATTTTCATCAAATAACACTATCAAACCTCCTGCTTTAATTGCCATGGGACACATGTCTATGACACTAAACAATGAGATAATTTAGTCAGCTGAGCAGAAAGCAGCAACAAAAATAAGACCAAACATGTCCAATAAAAAGACTCAGATTATACAATAATTTTCTGTGTATTTACTATGGGCCTGACACTGTGCTTTACTCACATTATGTTATTCACAGTAGCCTCATGAGGTGGTTATAATCATTTTCATTTTGTAAATAAAGAAACTGAAGCCTTTCTAGGTAGGAAGGTGCCACTTGCATTTTGAGGAACAGGCTGAGGTGTTTGTAGAATGAAGGAAAAACAGGATGGGAGTGAGCTATGGATTCTTAGCAGTGGCTATCTAGGCCATTTTTTAATCTAACACTAAAATCCTTTGGATAATAACCCTGACAAATTCTGAAAGAGACACATATGTTTTGGAAGTTCTTTTTTTTTTTTAGTTCTACCACTTTATTGCTACCAACCCATCTCCCTCCACCCTCGTGGAAGTTCTAAACCTGATGTATTGTGTAGACTCTTATGGAATATAGAGATTTATAACAAATATTACTCTTTGGAATTCAGATGTAAATCAGAAATGTTTTTTAATATTCAAGTAGTTTCAAGAGGTCAGCTTAACTTTTTCAATTTTTTTTTCATTGTTTCATAAGGTGGATATACATAAAAATGCTATGATAATTACTAGTTGATAGTCTTTAGAGAACATTTAGTAGATATTCTTGTTTTGCAGGTTACTCCTGCAAAGAGGAGTCCGTTAAATTCAAACTGTAATTTAAACACACGTCATAAATTGTTCTTTATTGTATTGGGTTGGCCAAAATAGTCCTTCAGCTTTTTCCATAAGATGGGTCTAGTAGTGCTTAGTTATCATTCACTTCATTTGAAACAATTTTGTTAGATTATATTGTGACAGTTGTCACATCAGTGTGCATTTTAAAAAACATCAGAATTGGTGAATTTTTGTGTAGCTACATTAATATTAAAGACGGAAGAAAACAAGCAACATTTTTGGTATATCATGCTTTATTATTTCAAGAAAGGTTAAAAACGAGCTGAAAAGCAAAAAAAAAAAAAAATTTGTGCACCGTATCAAGGTGGTGTGACTGACTGAACATGTCAAAAGTGGCTTGCAAATTTCTTGCTGGAGATTTCTCATTGGACAATAAGCCATGGTCTGGTAGACCTGTTGACACTGACAGCAGTCAAATAGAGACATTAACTGAGAACAATCAATGTAATACCTCACGGGAGATAACTGACATACTCAAAATACCCCAATCAAGACTTCCCTGGAGGTCCAGTGTTAAGACTCCACACTTCAAAGCAGGGGGCATGAGTTTGATCCCTGGTTGGGAAACCAGGGTCCTGAATGCTGCACAAGGTGGCCAAAAAAACCAAACAAGCCAATAATAATCCAAACGAAGCACTGGAAATCATCTGCACCAGCTTGGTTGTGGTTATTACTTTCATGTTTGAGTTCCATCTAAGTGGGAAAAAAAAAAACACTAACCATATTTCTGCATGCAATTCTCTACTTATATATAACAAAAACGTTCTGTTTTTAAAACAAACTGTTGATGGGCAATGAAAAGTGGATAGTGTACAATAACAGGGAACAGAGTAGATCATGAGGCAAGTAAAAGGAAACACCACCAACCACACAAAAGGCTGGTCTTCATCCAAAGAAGGTGATGCTGTGTATGTGGTGGAATTAGAAGGGAGTCTTCTATTATGAGTTCCTTCTGGAAAACCAAACAAATAGTCCAACAAGTACTGCTTCCCATGAGACCACCTGACAGCAGCACTTGAAGAAAAGCATCTGGATCAGTCAACAGAAAACACGGACTCCAGCAGGATAATGCACGATTGCATGTTTCTTTGAAGACCCAGCAAAAACTGTTACAGCTTGGCTGGTAAGTTCTCATTTGTCTGCTGTATTCACCAGATATTGTACCCTTGGATTTCCATTTATTTCAGTCTTTCCAAAATTCTCTTAAAGGAAAACATTTCAATTCCCTGGAAGACTGTAAAAGGTACCTAGAAGCGTTCTTTGCTTAAAAAGAAAAACTTTTGGGAAAGTGGAATTATGAAGTTGCCTGAAAAATGGCAGAAGGTAGTGGAACAAAAAGGTGAATATCCTGTTCAATAAGTTCTTGGTAAAAACGGAAATGGGTTTTTACTTAAAAACTGAAGGAACTTGGCCAACCCAATCGGAAAGACCTGACAATATGTCACTTATCACGTGTATGTGTGTGCTCAGTTGCTAAGTTGTGTCCAACTCTGCTACCCCATGGACTGTAGTCTGCCAGGCTCCTTTGTCTAAGGGATTTTTCAGGCAAGAGTACTGGAGTGGGTTGCCATTTCCTGCTACAGGAGACCTTCCCGACTCTGGCATTGAACCTGAGTCTCCTGTGTTTCCTGAATTAGAAAGTAGACTCTTATCACTGTGCCACCTGGGAAGCCCCAATCCTATGATAGACATCTTTTGTATCTCTAATCGATCTGAAGATATTAAAGTTATTTTCAGATATAATGAATTAATATGACTAGGTTGGAGAGACAGGGAGACTTTCAAAGACAAAAACAATCTTACCAAAGTCGGCAAATGCTGACTGTCCCACCACCATCATATTTTGAGGTTTTTCAAGAACAGTACTGAGAGAGAAATTTCCATCCTGTTAAGAGGCAGAAAGTTATGGATTAGGTCATTTTTCAAGTGTGAAACAAAGCATTTAAAAATTTTACTATTGTATTTTACTATTATTTTTTAAACTTTTTATTTTTTATTGGAATATAGCTGATTGACAATGTTGTGCTCGCTTCAGGTGGACAGCAAAGGGACGCTGCCATTCATATATGTCCATTCTCTCCCAAACTCCCCTCCCATCCAGGCTGCCATGTAACATTGAGCAGAGTTCCCTAAGCTAGACAGTAGGCCCTCTGAAACAAAGTATTTTAATGAAAGCAGGGAAATAAACAACTTAAGGCTTTTGTACTCCAAAGAATTATCCCACTTTTCTGTTCCGTTTTTATCATAAAATGAAAGAAACTGCTGTGAGCTGAAGAAGCGCATCGGGAGATGTGCCTTGCATGCTGTCAGTTCAGGTATGATCTCTCTCTCTTTACTCTCTGTCACTAAGTTTGGTCTGACACTCTGCGACCTTGTGGACTGCAGCCCACCAGGCCCCTCTGTCCATGGGATTTCCCAGGCAAGCATACTGGAGTGGGTTGCCTTTTCATTCTCTGGGGGATATTCCTGCCCCAGGGATTGAACCCACATCTCCTGTTTGGCATGTGAATTCTTTACCACTGAGCCTTCTGTGAAATCTTCAGGCATGATGTGTGTGTGCTGTGTCCTAAGTCGCTTTAGTTGTGTCTGACTCTTTGAGACCCACTGCCCACTAAGCTCCTCTGTCCATAGGATTTTCCAGGCAAGGATACTGGAGTGCGTTGCCATTTCCTTCTCCAGGGAATATTCCTGATGCAGAGATTGAAAGGTATCTCTATGTTTCCTGAATTGGAAGGTAGGTTCTTTACCACTAGCGCCACTTGGGAAGCCCTCTTTCCTAAATCATCATCATAATTTCAGACAGAATGAGTGTCTTCTACGTTCAAGTACCATGGAAGGTTTGGGAATATAAGTGAAAGTCGCTCAGTTGTGTCTGACTCTTTGCAACCCCTCTTGAAATCCTCCAGGCCAGAATACTGGAGTGGGTAGCTTTTCCTTTCTCCAGGGGATCTTCCTAACCCAGGGATTGAACCCTAGTCTCCCACATTACAGGTGGATCCTTTACCAGCTGAGCCACAAGGGAAGCCCAAAGAAGTAGATAAAATAGTTCCTACCCGAAAGAGCTAACAGTCCAGTTGGAAGATAAAATATGTCAAGAAAAGAGAATTTTTGAAGGTAACATATAAGTGGTACGAGTAAGTAGGAAAGATACTATGTTTTACAGATTTCAAGAAAGAAGATTCTGTTGGGGGTTAATTAGGTAAAGATATTCAAATGAGATGAGAATTACATTCATCGTTAATGGTTCATTCATTACCAACACTATCAGAAAGGCAGCAAAAGAGTACAACAGCTGACGTGTCCTAACCAGAGGTGGCTAAGCTAAACAAAAAAGGAGAACTCATCAGAGATCTTTTGCTTCAGTTACTCTTACCAAAACAGAATGAGGGGCTTACAAAAATAATATGCATTTCTTTAAATTATTGTCTTTCCTTTCTATAATTTTATATTAGAACATAAGAAAAATAAACCAAAACACTGTGCTTGGGTTTTGAGCTTAGTTTTAAAGCTCTTCTCTTATCACTGATTTCTCTTTTAACTATTTGATGTGCTAACCCTGATTCTTACATGCTTCATACAGAAAACTATATATTTTAAAATATTTTAAATATTTTAAATATTTTTCTCCTTTGTTCCTTTAAAGATACTGCAGATCTGTAAGTTATTTCTGAAGAAATCATCTCCAACATTTTCAGAGACAGGCAATGCTACCCAGAAAGCATTAAGACTAAATGCCTGAGGAACATGAGTAAGTAACATCTGTCTTGTGACAGGCAGTTTTCCAGCCATTTTAACTCTCCATCATTCACATGCAGAAACATGTTTCTCCTACCATTATTAAAGTATCTGATACATTTTTGAAAGATTTTTCTATGGAAATCTTATTTATGTGTCTTAAAACTTAGGATGCCCCTCCAGTCTTGCTGAGTACCTGATGTTATACTAAAGATACATCAAAGTTGCCAAATTTGTGAATGAAGTGTCAAATGAATTTGCATTCTAGAAAGATTACAGCATCAGGTACAAGGAAGACACAATTATTCTTGAATGAATGGAAAAACCACTCTAAAAATACATCAGCCACATAAAACATAAGCTGAATATCAACCTATTCTACTGGCTCAAGTGAATAAATTACTCCTGTGAATTTTTGTTAAACGTAATAAAATGTATTTAGAAATGTTTCCAGATGCACGCATATTTTGAAAATACAGGCAAATTCTGGTTAAGATCACTGCAATAAACTAAGTATTGTAATAAACCAAGGCACAGGAATATTCTGGTTCCCAGTGGATGTAAAAGTTATACTACATTGTACTCTATTAAGTGTGCAATAGCATTATCCCTAAAAAAAGTACATACTTGGATTAAAAAATACTTTACTGTTAAAAAAAATACTAACCATCATCCCAAGCCTTTAGCAAGTTGTAATCTTTTTGTAATAGCAACCTCAAAGAACAATAATACAAATTAAATACAATGGGAAAAGTTTGAAATATTGTGAGAATCGCCAAAATGTGACATAGAAGACATGAAGTGACCAAATGCTATCATCAAAAACAGTGCTGATATACTTACTTGACACAGGGCTGCCAGATTTTCAATTTATGGAAAATAAAAAAACACAATAAAATAAGGCATGCATGCATACCTGGTAGATTTGGTGGACAGAGTGCCTGAAGAACTATGCATGTAAGTTTATACAAACTCCTGTAAGTTTGTACAGGAGGCAGTGACTGAAACCATCCCCCAAAAAAGAAATGCAAGAAGCCAAAGTGGTTGCCTGATGAGGTTTTACAAATAAACACACGAAGAAAGAAAAGAAGTGAGAGGCAAGAGAGAGGGAAAGATATAACTAACTGAATGCAGAAGTCCAGAGAATAACAAGGAGAGATAAGAAAACCTTCTTAAGTGAAAAATGCAAAGAAATAGAGGGAAACAACAGAATGGGAAAGACTACCAATCTCTTCAAGAAAACTGGAAACATCAAGGAACATTTCATGCAAGGATGGGCATGATAAAGGACTGAAATGGAAGGACCTAATGGAAGCAGAAGAGACTAAGAAAAGGTGACAAGAATACACAGAAGAATAATACGAGACAGATCTTAACGACGTGGATAACTACAGTGACGTTGTCATTCACCTAGAGCTAGATACTCTGGAGGGTGAAGTCAAGTGGGCCTTAGGAAGCATTACTATGAACAAAGCTAGTGGAGGTGATAGAATTTCAGCCATTTAAACCCTAACAGATGATGTTAAAGTGCTGCACTCAATATGTCAGCAAACTTGGAAAACTCAGCAGTGGCCACAGGATTGGAAAAAGTCAATTTTTATCCCAATCCCAAAGAAGAGTAATGTAAAAGAATGCTCAAACAACCGTACAACTGCACCCATTTCATGTGCTAGCAAAGTTATGCTCAAAATCCTTCAAGCTAAGCTTCAAGAGTATGTGAATGGAGAGCTTCTAGACGTAGAAGCTGGGTTTCAAAGAGGAAAGGAACCAGAGATCAAATTACCAACATTCCTTGAATCACGGAAAAAGCAAGGGAATTCCAGAAAACATCTATTTCTGCTTCATTGAACATATGAAAGCCTTTTACTGTGTGGATCACAATAAACTGTGGAAAATTCTTAAAAGACTGGAGTACCAAACCACCTTACCTGTCTCCTGAGAAACCTGTATGCAGGTCAAGAAGCAATAGTTAGAACCACATATGGAACAATGGACTGGTTCAAAATTCAGAAAGGAGTAAGACAACGTTGTATATTGTCACCTTGTTTATTTAACTTCTATGCAGAGTACATCATGGGAAATGCCAGGGTGGATGAGTTACAATCTGGAATCAAGATTGCCAGGAGAAATATCAACAACTTCAGATATGCAGATGACACCACTCTAATGGCAGAAAGCGAAGAGATACTAAAGAGACTCTTGATGAGGGTGGAATAAGAGAGTGAAAAAGCTGGCTTGAGTTGACTTTTACTCAACATTCAAAAAACTAAGATCATGCCATACAGTCCCATCACTTTATGGCAAATAGAAGAGGAAAAAGTGGAAGCACTGACAGATTTTATTTTCTGTGGTTCCAAAATCACTGTGGATGGTGATTGCAACCATGAAATTAAAAGACGCTTGCTCCATGGAAGGAAAGCTATGACAAACCTAGACAGTGTACTAAAAAGCAGAGACATCACTTTGTTGACAAAGGTCTGAATAGTCAAAGCTATGATTTATCTGTAGTCATGTATGGATATGACAGTTGGATCATAAAGAAGGCTGAGTGTTGAAGAATTCATGCTTTTGAATTGCTATGCTGGAGGAAGATTCTTGGGAGTTCTTTGGACTGCACAGAGATCAAACCAGTCACTCCTAAATGAAATTAACTCTGAATATTCACTTGAAGGGCTGATGCTGAAACTCCTATACTCTGGCCACCTGACGTGAACAGCCAAGTCACTGGAAAAGACCCTGATGCTGGGAAAGACGGAAGGCCAAAGGAGAAGGGAGCAGCAGAGGATGAGATGGTTGGATGGCATCACTGAGTCAATGGACACGAATCTGAGCACATTCTGGCAACTAGTGGAGGACAGAGCAGCCTGGTGTGCTACAGTCCATGGGGTCACAAAGAGTCAGACACAACTTAGTGACTGAACAACAACAACAAACACCTGTATAATCATGATGTATCTCCAACAAGAAAGACTGAGTACTACCCAGGTGACAGACTCCGGTGTCTAACATGCCACATTCACCATGAACTTCAGTATAAGAAGACAATATACTTTTGCAATTGCTAGAAAAAGAGAATCATATATTCTTGTTATAGTGAGAGCATGCAGAATATATTATCTATATGAATTAACTAGGGCTTGGGGATACTTG